TAAATATTTTGTATATAAAATATTTATATTCACATATATTACATTATATATGTATTATATTAAATTATATAAATAATATAATATAATAAATAACATAATATAAAGAGGGATAAGTTATCACATTTGTTGTTTCATAACTCAATTATCCCCTTAAGATAAATAATAATAATAATAATAATAAATAATCTAATAAAATATTGGATCAACATAATAAGATAAGGGATTGAATAAAATTATTGTATCATGTTGGGTACAAACAATTGATTATAACATAATATCTTATTACATTCTAGTCATCAAGAGAGTCCTAAAAGTTTAAATAAAAGGATTTAATTGAATAAACTCTTACATAATTATTTATAAATTATGTGAAAAGAAAAGATTAAATAAGTTTTTATCTGATAGCCATAACTCACAGCAAGCCCAATCCATTCAACTAAATCCCAAGAGAGAAATTAGGTCTCCAACGTGGCTCAAGGACTATTATTGAGTTGGTTTTATTTTACCGTTGTTTTTAATCTTAGCCTTGTTTTATATCAACAGATACAAATATTTGACCGTTGCAGTTATTTCCTTTAAATAATTCTTGTATGATCTTTTTGAAAGAAGAAGAAATTATGAAGTATCTCTTTACTTAATTATCAGTTTTTACTTTATTAGTTGTAGTCTATCAGGTTTTTGGTGCTTTCGTTGAGTCTTCATGCCTCCCAAACCAGCCTCCACTTCCAAGGATTTAGAATCCACAATCCATTCCATCTCCGAGCAATTAGGGGTGTTTGCTACCCAAATCGAAAACATTCAGACTTTGCAAAACTCACGTTATGAATCACTCACCAGTTCCATTGCCACTGTCATGGCTCAACTGAGCAATCCTTCAAATTCTACCTCATCATCACCCCTTATTTCCTTCATTCCTCCATCATCTACTGACATACCTCCTCCCCAAATACCATCCATTATGTCTGGCCCAACTTCACAACCATTTAACCAAGTTATTAACCCACCTTTCCTTACACAACCACAACCCTTCCTCCACACGCCCTATTCATTAAACCCTCCTCTCAACTCCCATTTTTCTCCTCCTTATCCCCCACCCTTTACACCTCCTCCTCCAGCACCTGGTTCTCATTCTCAAAGCCCTCACTTTCGTCTACCTAAATTATAGCTAATTCCATTTGATGGCACCAAACCATTAGATTAGCTTTTCCAAGATGAACAATTTTTTACTTTCCATCAAGTCCCTTGGGAACATCGCTTAACCATGACAACCTTTTATATGAAAGGCGATGCACTTAGTTGGTTCAAATGGATGCACATGAACAATCAACTCAATGATTAGTTCTCTTTCACAAAGGCTTTGAAATTACATTTTGGTCCTTCTACGTATGAAAATCATGAAGCTGAGCTTTACAAATTACGCCAGACAGGCTCCATCACAGATTATCAGGCTCAATTCGAAAAACTCTGTAATAGGATTTATGGTTTATCTCCTACTATTAACCTTAATTGTTTCATTTCAGGTCTCTCACCTGCCATTAAGCGAGACTTTGCACTCCATAAACCAGCTTCTATCACACAAGCCATTGGGTTAGCTAAACTTGTGGAATCCAAAATTCTTGATTCTAAACCTAAGTTTTCGAAATAACTTAACCCTTACTTTACATCTCCCACTCAACTCACCCAATCATCCTCTACCACCAATTCTACACCATCCCACCCACTTAATACTCCATCTCTCCCAGTTAAACGCCTTTCCCAATCCCAACTACAAGAAAGACGTGCAGCAGGGTTGTGTTATTACTGTGATGCAAAGTTCCACTCTGGTCACAAATGTTCCCCACCAAAGTTTCTCATTCTTTTGGCAGAAGTAGAGTTTGATGAGCAAACTACCCCTACAAATTTAAACACCAATCCAGACATAGACCTCGAAGCTATTCACTTACAATTATCAAGTC